TGATGAACTGGGATCGATCTCTTTGGAAGTTGTATGGATGTTCTTGAATATGATGAAGATGACGATGGAAAACGGTTATGAACGGTGATGGATACGATGAACCTAGGAGCTTCTTCGAAAGTTGTTGATGGATGATGTTCTTGCGAAGACTCACACTCATGAGTGAGGATTTTGAGGAATCTGGTAAACGGTTCTTGAATGATGAATGGATGACGATCTCAATGGAAGATCTTGGATACTTTCTGGAGATTAACGATGAAAATCTGGTAATGTGATGAACGTTCATGGTGAATCTCATGAATATTTCTGGGGAAATGATGAAGTTCTTGATATCCGGCGACGGTTTCCGATGAGGTGATGAATTTTCCGGTTAGAAGTTTGTTGTTTCCGGTGAGCTTCTGCCGTGAGTAGGTTAGCGTTGATTTCGCCGGTGAGTCCTCCGGCCGTTTGCATGGCCGGCGGTGGGAGTACCACCTCGCCAGACGCGTGTCGTTACGCATGAGAGGGGCATGGAGGTGAAGCCAAGTGGCGATGGAGGGAGTTGCATGCAGGGACGCGTGGAGGTGTGTTGGCAGTGAGAGAGAGAATTGTGAGGTGGTGAGGTGGCGTGGAGAGAACGCGTGGAAGGCTGTGGAGTGAAAACATGGGAAATGAAGTGGAAACGTGGTGAATTGGAGAGATGATCCTGAATGCACGCGTGGAAGCTTTATATATTGACACATGGCAGGGGATTTGGGACTGGTTAGACTGGGCCTCCAAACTAGGCCCAACGAAAATGGCTTTGGACTGAACTAAATGGTTAATGACTTAATTAAACATTAAACGCTAATGAAAATTAAAACAACTATTAAATCCTAATTAAAAACTAATTAAGACTTAAACTACAATTAACTAATGATTAAGCCTAAAAAAACTGCACGTAACGCCTAAAATGAGAATTAAAACTAATACAAACCTAATTAAAACTGATTAGCTCAATTAAAATCTAAACAAAAGATTAAAATCCTAATTAATCTCTATTAAGCCCTAATTAACTCTAATAAAGAGAATTAACCTATAAACTAATGAAACTCTAGTAATCCTATTTAATCTCTAAACTAATAAAACTCTAGAAATTTCTAATAATTCCACTAATAGAAAACTCCACTAATTTCTACTTAAAAATCACCTATTAAAAGAAAATCATTTAAAAACTCTACTTAATATCTATGACAATATTATTTATTCTAAAGTCTATTTACCTATTTATTAAAACTATTAAGAAAACTATTTAATATCTAAAAATGCATTATTCCTAAATCTATTATCTAATAAAAGAAAAACTCCATTAATTTCTATTTAAAAATCCTAATAGAAGAAATTATCACATTAAAAATTCTATTTAATATCTAAAGAAAAGATTTAAACCTATTTAAAATGATTAAAGTTATTTAAAATACCTAGAAAAATGAATTAAACCTATCAAAAATTCTAGAAAGATAAAGAAAAAACCCTAAAAATACGAGAAAGCCGATTAAATCGATTAGCGAGCTATATCGAAATAAACGGTAAAAACCCGGACACCGAGAGGTCCTCGAAAACAACAGCGAGAGCTGAAAGCACCGAGACGAGCACCGATTCTCAAAATACGTCCTCGTATTGGTCTGAAATGCTATCAGAGGGCTGTGATCCCGATAAACCAATTTGACTGGAAAAATGCAATGCACGCGGTATGCAAATGCGAGAATGAAATGAGTCGAAACATGAGCCCAATTGCGATGAGTAGTTGGTCAAATTTTGGGGTGCAACAACATCCTGTACAACGCCATAGATATAGGCCTCGTACCAGGTACAAGATCAATGCTAAACTCAACTTCTCTCTTCGAAGGTAACTCTGTAATATCATCAGGGAACACTTCTGGAAATTCATTCACCACTGCCAACTCCTTCAATGACGCTTTACTGTCAATTGATAATGATGCAAATAAAGCAAACATCTTAGCCTCGTCTTCCAACAAGATCCTAAATTCCTTACTAGACAAGGAACCCTCCAAAGCTTCTTCCTCGGGAGTAAGAAACAACAATACCTTCCGAAAGCAATCGATGTAGACTCGGTTGAACTCTAACCAGTTCATACCCAGAATAACATCCAATTTACCAAGCGGCAAGCAAATCAGATCTACCCCAAAATCTCTACCAAAGATAGTTAGTGGACACTTCAAACACACCAAAGAAGTAGTCACTGAACCAATAGAGGGAGTCTCAATAGTCATCCGCCGCTCAAGAGTAGTCGGCACCAAACCTAACCTCTTCACAAAATCAACAGAGAGGAACGAGTGGGTCGCACCCGTATCAATCATAGCAGACAAAGGAACATTATTGATGAAACAAGTACCTTGGATAGAACGATCCTCACTAGCAGCTTGAGTTCCCACTACCGCAAACACTTTACCACTGGTCTGAGACACCTGAGATGACTTCGGCTTCTCACAATGCATACTGATGTGGCCCTTCTCACCACAGTTGTAACAGGTAGGCATAGCGACTCGGCAATCAGCCACCACATGGCCCGGCTTACCACAATTGAAACACTTCTTCGCCTCATGAAAACAATCATCATCACGATGACCCATGCCACCGCACCGGAAACACTTCACACCAGCAAACACTCTTCTTTCTCTGAGCTTCTTATCAGCAGCAACCTTAAACTTCCCCTTATTAGTAGGAACACTGTAAGGAGTACCACCAAAACTTTGCTTACCCTTACGATCATTTGCAGCCTTGTAATGCGCGACCCTCGCCTGGTTATCATTATCATAAATCCTGCTTCTGCTTATCAGCTCAGGATAATCCATGATCTTCTGACAAGCTATTCCCATCTTCACTTCTGGACACAGCCCATTCTCAAATTTCAAACACTTGGAGGTCATCGCCCCGTCAGTATTGTAATGAGGATAATACTGCACCAACTCTTCAAACTTAGCCGCATACTCGGCCACCGTCATATTGCCCTGCTTCAGCTCTAGAAACTCAATTTCCTTAGCACTCCTAATATCCTCCGGAAAATACTTCTCAAGAAAACCAGTTCGGACCACATCACAGGTAATCGTAGTTCCTGCAGTCTCCAACCTCTGTCGACTGTTGTCCCACCAAGCTTCAGCTTCTCCCTCTAACATGTGAGTACCGAACCTCACCTTCTGCTCATCGCTACATCCCATCATTCTGAAAATTTTCTCAATCGCCTTAAGCCACTTCTGTGCCGCTTCAGGGTCCAAAATTCCTCCTTGAAACGTCGGCAGCTTGTTACTCTGAAACTGCGCCAAATCCTTGAATTACGCACCCGCAGTGTGGTTCTGATTAGCAACCACCTGCGCCATCGCTTGCATAGCTGCAGCCAACGTAACATCATTCCTTCCCGCCATACTGCTTAACAACAACAACGCCAGGTTAACAGAAAAACAAACTTTATCCTAAGGACAGACTCAACTACTACACTGGCCGGACGGGCCGACATGCTCTGATACCAGCTTGTAACAACCGGTTCCCAAAACAAAATAAATGCAAATAAATCAAACAATTAAATATCAGAGTTAGCACACCAAACGGGATGTCACAGATGAAAACTCCACAAAATATTTCATTGAATACTTTTTTCAAAATATACAGCGGAATTCGTCATGTAGATACATATATACATCATATACACCATAATCGGTCAAGTCAAAATATGCAAACATATCCACCAAAAGGATTCATCAGACACGATACGCCACAGGGGCAAACAAAAATCATCATGTAACACAATAACTCCCCAAAGCCCCAGTGTTACGTATCAGAGCATCCCTACGACTCGACACGCCACAATCCAAGCTAGCTACACACCTGGATTATCTTTACTTTCGAAGAAGCACAGACCACAACAACAACAACAACAAGGGGTGAGAAATCACAATCAAAATATAACGGTAATAATGTACATGAATAAAAGGTAGTAAATCACACAACTATCATTCACATACATCGACCCAGACCTATTGTCTCACACCAACATAACATATAAGACAATGCAACACATGCAACTCAACCCATGATATGCGGTACTAACTCACTGGTTCGCTCACTCGAACCCGGATAGATCGCATACACCCACCAGCGACAACGATCTATCCCACAAAGCTCCCCACGGAGTACGGGAAAATAACCCGGAATAGATCAAATACACCCCCCGGGCAACGATCTATCCCAATCAACTCAGAATAGATCACATACACTCCACTGAGCAATGATTTATTCCAACCACCCCTCTCCTTCGGAGTAAGGGCAATAAACTCAGGAT